CCGCCGCTGCCTGCCGCTTATGCACCCCCCTCGCCCCCCCAGTGCCCCATGGCGCCTCTTTGCAGTCACCCCCTCGCTGCTCTGGTTCCATTCGGCCCTGGGCCTCTCAGTGGATGAAGCCCAGCGCGCCCTCGCCCTCCTGGGCCTCGCGCTCGCGCTCGCGGCCGCCCTCGCCGCCGGCCGCGCCCCGCCGCGGCTCGGCGGCGGCGCGCTGGCCGCGGCGATGGGCGCGATGTGGCTGCTGCTGCTGAGCGCGTGCAGCGTGGGGCAAGGTTTCCTGAGCGGCGCGTGGTGAGCACGGATGGCAGGGGCCCTCATTGCCGGCCGCTGATCGCCAGCGCTACCGGTCCATCTGTGTCTCTGTGAACGGCCATTTTGTGCTGCCCCGGCTTCCGAGCCTGGCGCATGAATCACAGCGGCTGCGGCTTTCCTTTGAATCCAACTGTTGTGGTGCGCCCAATCCGCCAGGGAGTCGCTGCTGCTTGAGGCTGGATGGGCCGGCATCCTGCTCGCCGCGCAGCCGGGCGGCGCCAGCGGCGGCGCCGGCGCGCCGCCGGCGCTGCTGCTGCTGCGTTGGCAGCTGTTCAAGGCGTGCGTCCTAGACGGCACCGCAAAGCTGCGCGTGGCCTGCGCTGCGGCGGGCGACCTGGGGGAGTGCTTCTTGCGGGTGGCCGCCACTGCGGCGGTCCAGGGGGCCCCGAACTGGTGGGTGGCAGCGCCCCATGGGGGTGGGGCGATGCAGGGGAAATTAGAGCAGTGGCGCAAAAGCCATGTCGGGGACGTTTCAAGCCGTGCATGCCAGGGTGGCACGTGGGCCCTGTGGGTTCTGCTTGATCGCCCTGGCTTTAATCTCTTTGCACCTGGTCATCTTGTCTGATGCAGTCGCAAACCGAACGCGCAGGGCCTTTTCAAACGCGGGCGCCGAGCTGCGGGCCGGCGCCCTCGCGCTGCTGCTCGCCGCGCAGCTGCCCGGCGCCTTCCTCGCCCTCTCCCCGTTCCGCGGCGCGCGCCTCGCCGCCGCCGCGCTGCAGCTCTCCGCGGCGCTGCTCGGCGCGCTGACAGGCGCGGGCGGCGCCACGCCGGCGCTGCTGTTCGCGGGCCTCTGCCTCGCCCTCCTGGACGACGCCGCGCTTAGCGCCCTGTGCACGCGCGCGCTGGCCGGCGG